CAGAAACCTAAAAAATTATAAAAGAAGTTAAGCTATGGCTTAGCTATAGTTACAGTTAACAGAAAAAGTTTTAATTTCATACATTTACTGCAATTAAAAAACATGCATTATAAAATGGTGGTAAATATTGTACCTCAATCCCAGTTTCAACTTCAAGATAAGCATTAAGAACCTCCTGGAGCTGGACATTATGAGAATCACCATCAAATGGCAGGTCAGACTAGAGAGAGAGAGAGAGAAATAAAAAGACAAAAATATGAAACACATTGTAGATGTAGGAAAAAGAAAAAAACAACATAGACAGTAGACACTGAGAATTGGATACATTATGAAAAATATACAAAAATAAATTAATTCATACATGAACATGTACATACATGTACATGTGCTATTATACAAGTATACATGTACATGTACATGTATGTGTCAGTTAGGGGAGTGTACCTTGTTCCCAGCAAGAATGACTGGCTTGTTGAGACTAGAGGAGGACTGCTTAATGAGAGGCAACCAATAACCAGTCACCTAATAACAATACAATAAAAAATATTGTGTCCAATCACAACTGGATTCATTAAAGTAACTTTAAAATCTTAAAAATCAATAAAAATAAAAATCTTTAAAAAATAAATAAAATAACAAAAAATCAAATAAAATAAAAATCTTAAAAATCAATGCCAAAGTCCCTGTACTATAGTACAGGGTCGTTGGCCAAATTTTGGCAAAAATGAAAAGTTGAAAAATCTCCATTTTATTACATTTTCTGATGCATATACATGTACTTATGTTGTGTAGAAAGTTTGAGCTAATTCCGATCAAAATTGGATTTTTACAAATTTTCTTTAAGTTACTCAAAAATGGGGCCAAAGTCCCTGTACTATAGTACAGGGTCGTTGGCCAAATTTCAGCAAAAATGACAAGTTGAGAAATCTCTATTTTTATTACATTTTCTGATGCATATACATGTACTTATGTTGTATAGAAAGTTTGAGCTGATTCCGATCGAAATTGGATTTTTTACGAATTTTAAAAAGTTACTCAAAAATGGGGCCAAAGTCCCTGTACTATAGTACAGGGTCATTAGCCAAATTTCGGCAAAAATGACAAGTTGAGAAATGTCCATTTTTATTACATTTTCTGATGCATATACATGTACTTATGTTGTGTAGAAAGTTTGAGCTGATTCCGATCAAAATTGGATTTTTTACGAATTTAAAAATTTACTCAAAAACGGGGCCAAAGTCCCTGTACTATAGTACAGGGTCATTAGCCAAATTTCGGCAAAAA